TAAGGTCGCTACCGCATCTGTGCAGGGCAAGGTGAGCTCCTGGGCGGCCCGCTGCACTCTCGCTTAAAGCACCTAAGTAACCTTCATTTGGTTGATGGGTTGGCGGGGATGGTCGACGAGGTTGGCGGGGGTTAAATGGAGGGAGGATGCAGCGGTCTCGGACCTGGGTAGGAGACTCCCCTCAACTGCCGGACCCTCATTCCCCACCCCCTCCTCTGCGGTGGCGGAGGAGGAGGGGAGGCGAGTACCTTGCGGGAAGCTGTGCGTGTGCGTGCGCGTGCACGGGGTGTGAACATGCGTGTGCGCGCCCGCCTGTGTTGGCAGGTCTGTGTACCCTTGCGTGTGTACCTGGGTATGCTCACGTGACCCAGCGAGGGTCCTGACCCAAGTGTGTCTTTGCTGCACGCTTCTTGAGAGAGACGCATGGATTGTGCGTGTGCGGTCACGGCTGTGTTCGTACATACACGGGGATGCGTACCCGTGTGGGTTACGTACACACACCTGCATGGGTGGAGGGTGCCGTGTGCGTGTGTGGATTTGCACCTTTGTATATGCATGTCGGTGTGCAGACAGGTGTTTGCGTGCGTCTCTGTTCTGTGTCCGAATGAGTTCAGCCCTAATGTGCACGCGCGTTCACGGGTGAGTGGGTGCCCTGCTGTGTGCATGTGACTGTGTGTACGCTCCACCCCTATTACATTATGCAGCTGCCTCAGCTTGAACTCCCCCAACCTGGGAGTGAGGGGGGAAGAGGGGCTACAGATGTGTGTCGCTGCGGACTATCCACATGTTCCAGCGTTGGGTTCTGAGAAACATAAATGATTGATGGGGGGCGGGGCCGACCGCAGTCACCCCCTCCAGCGCAGCCATAGGGTTTAGGGTTACAGCCTGACCTGGGGCACAGACCTGCTGGAGGGGCTATAGGGGTGTCCCCACACTGGTTTCTCTGAACTCCTCCGTGAAATACCCCTCTCCCCCTCCTTTCAAGGTCACAGCGGGCCCTCTGCCCTGGGCTCCACAGTTAGTACTGGGGCTTCTGGTGGCATGCTAGTTCCTCTCCGTGGTTCTGGTGTTTTCTCCATCCTGTGCCTGGGCTTGGGGATGGCAGGGGAACCCCTCACACTAGCCTGCGCCCCGCATCCCCAGATGGCGTCAGCCACAGACTCGCGCTATGGGCAGAAGGAGTCCTCGGACCAGAACTTCGACTACATGTTCAAGATCCTCATCATTGGTAACAGCAGCGTGGGCAAGACGTCCTTCCTCTTCCGCTATGCAGACGATTCCTTCACTCCTGCCTTTGTCAGCACTGTGGGCATAGACTTCAAGGTCAAGACCATCTACCGCAATGACAAGAGGATCAAGCTGCAGATCTGGGTGGGTCTAGTTGGGGGATTCCCGTCTTCACCATTCTCCCTTATGGGAAAAGTAGCCCCAGCTTTTCCTCTTTCAATTCATTTACACAACTGGGCATTACCATGTGCCGACTGAGCAGCAAAGGTACAGAAGAGAAAGCCCCTGCTCCTCCATCGGAGCCTAATTGGTTCCCTCCAGGGCTGCGGGAGGAGCCAGTGCTGGGTTCTTTCCTATACCTGGTATCTGCAGGAGCATCATTGGGCTTAGTGCCTCAATTTCCTCACCTGTGAGTTCTTCCATGTGAGTCTGTTTGAGGTTTCACTGGATGTTGGCCCCCAACCTCATTGTCTAGGACAGGCATGGTCACCTCCCCCAGGGTCACCTGGCTGCCTCCCACAACCCCACAGAGGCCAGAAGGAGCCTGTTAGCTCCCAGGGCTCCCACCTCATGCAGGATAAACTCTACACCCCTCCCCTGGCCTAGGAGACCCTGCCTGGGTCAGTCCCACGTCAGCATCTTCAGCCTGGCTGTGCCCTCTGCCTGGATTGTCCTTCCCCTGATTGTCCCATGGCTCTCTCCCTACTTCCTTCAAGTGTCTGCACCTTGCCCCAGCCCACACTGCCCATCCCTGTCAGCTTTGTTTCCCCCCTGAGCCCTTATGGCTCTCTGACATAGGATACATTTTATCCCTTTTATGGGTTTATTGTCTATTTCCTACATTGAATTGTCAGTCCCACAGGAGCAGCGATTTTTGTCAATTTGGTTTACAGCCAAATTATCCCTAGAGCCCAGTGTGGTGTATGGCACAGGGCAGTGCCTTGTACATGTACATTGGTGAATGAGGGAGCAATTCTGAAGGTACCAGACTCTGTAGGATGTTCGAGTACCACATTCTTGGTGCAGGCGGCTGGCTGGCTGTCCCTGGCCCCCTGTGCCTCTGGGCAAGCCCCTACTCTTCTCTGGGTCTTGAAGGAGCTGGACTAGATCTCAGGGCTCATTTCCATCAAGGATCTTACACCTGGGTCCTATCTGACCCTGTCTCTTCTTCTCCAGGACACGGCAGGGCAAGAGCGGTACCGAACCATCACTACAGCCTACTACCGGGGTGCCATGGGCTTCATCCTCATGTATGACATCACCAACGAGGAGTCCTTCAACGCTGTGCAGGACTGGTGAGCACATCTTCAGCCCCTCTCGGACTGTTTTCTGAGCTGTGTTTGGTGCAAAGCCCAGGGTGTAGGCTGATGAGGGAACTCCAGCCCCCTGGCAGATATGTAAATAGCAACATTAGGGCCCCAGACCTGCTGTTGGTCTATAATCATTAAAACACAGCATCGTTGGCTCAAAATAGTGGGGAAAAAGGATTTCAGGTAAAAAAAATGAAACTAAACATACAGAAAAAAAATCCGGTGGGGGCAATGACAGAACATATAAGGACAGTTTGCACAGGTTATAGAGAACAAAAACATTTATATTTCTGCCCAGAAGTAATGATACATTTTAAAAATTTTCCTGGTTTTGCTGAGGAAGGAGTTCTCTCTGGGGGGAGGGGTTGGGGAGGGGGGTGGAGAGAGGCTACTTGAAAGAGAGATTTCGAAGATCAAGGAAGTGCTGAAGCAGACACCCAGAGATAGCAGTTTTTCTGGCAGAACAGAGAAGAGAAACTAAACCTGCCAGGTTCATGGAATAATGGGGAACTGGGGGCCGGGAATGGGATGAGGGAGTGGAGCTCATATACTCCCAGCCCTAAGCCTCCCCTGTTGCCCTGTCCTCCAGGTCAACCCAGATCAAGACCTACTCGTGGGATAATGCCCAGGTGCTGCTGGTGGGGAATAAGTGTGACATGGAGGATGAACGGGTGGTGTCATCGGAACGTGGGCGGCAGCTGGCCGACCACCTTGGTGAGTGCTCAGAGGGGCTGGACACCTTCAGGCTAGAAGAGGGACACTGAGGCCCTGAGAGGGGAGGGGACACACCCAGGGCCTTCAAGCAAATCCAGGGTGGGGTCTGGATTTGAATGCAGACAATTTATGCTTTCTGCAAACTGGCCTTGACCCAGGACCCATGTGAAGTAGATCTTGATAGGTTTGTAGTTCACTGTGCAGGAGGTTACTGATTCATTCTGACACCCTCACTGCCCAGCCTCATGCTGGGTGTTGCTGGGCCCTCAAGAGGCCTCCAGCTTTGTGAGAGAGGGGGACACAGGCTGGGGAAGTCCCATGGGAAATGCCTACAAGAAGGCTTTGTGGAGGGGGGACATCGCATCTGGAGCTTGAAGAAAGGGTGGTCCTTCAGGCAGAGGGAACAGCTTGGGCAAAGGCCGGAGGTGGGAAAGATCCTGTGCATTTTGCCAGGTACTTTTACACAGCTGCAACGTGAGGGTCGTTGGGATGAAATATGGCCAATCATGCAGGGCCTGGCCATGTGCTAAAGAGCTGAGACTCTTCTGAGGGCAATAGGGAGCCGCTGAGAGTGTGAACAGGGGTGAGCATGGCTGGATTTGAGTGTCAGAGGCTGCCAGGGACGGTGTATGGGACTGGGCTGGTGGTGGGGGCAGGGGAGTGAGTCTTGCCAGAGCCTTGGGGACCGTGAGAAGGGGACAGTTTTAGGGCAAAGCAAGGAGCACAGGAAATACAGGGCTGACCCAGCTCAACATTACTTCCCGAGGGACTTGCCAGTGCCTTTACAGTTCAGTGGGCCCTGGGAACTTCCAGGTATTTCTGGCCTCAGAGAAATGTTTCTGGGAGGGGGGTGCCCAGGGTCTTCACTCCTCCCTCCCCTGACCACAGGGTTTGAGTTCTTTGAGGCAAGTGCCAAGGACAACATTAATGTCAAGCAGACCTTTGAGCGCCTGGTAGATGTCATCTGCGAAAAGATGTCCGAGTCACTGGACACAGCTGACCCTGCCGTCACAGGCGCTAAGCAGGGTCCACAGCTCACGGACCAGCAGGCGCCTCCACACCAGGACTGCGCCTGCTGAGAGCTGGCCTGCCCATCCCTGCCCTCCCCAGACCCCACCTGGCCATGGGCACAAGACCCCTGCCCCAACTTCCCGACTTAGCCCTTCACCCTTATTTATTATTGTAGCTATTTATTTATTTATTGGAGATGTCCCCTGGGGCTTGACTCTACCACCCCTTGTACCCCACCCTGTACATACAGCCCTGCCTTTGCTCTGCCGTGGCTTGTTGTGGCCCTCGAACTCACCCCTCGCCCTCTTCTCCAGACCCCAGCTTTTTAAAATTCATCCCATCAATAGTTCTCAGATTTGAAGAGGGGGCCAGATGTACCTGAGGGCAGGGTGACCGGGTGATGGGAGGTAGCCAGGCCTGACAGCCCCTTGGTGGGCCAAGGCTATGGTGGGGTCTCAGCAGGGACCACAGGGTGGGCCAGAGCCCCACAGTGGCCCACCTGGCCCCCGGCCCCCAAGTCCTACCTTTTTTTGGAGAGGGGGCTGCTGTGGTTACTTACCACCCTGAGAACACACCCGTCCCCCACACACAAGAGACTTGTCTGATGTCATGAGTGTCAAATGTGCCCCTAGGAGATGTCATGACAACACTACACACACCCAATAAAACAAATGGACGATGTTGTGTCAATGAGTTCCGCCTGCCAGTGCTGGCTGTGGTCAGCCATGAGACTTTCGATTACAGAAAGAATTTAATGAAGTTTACACAGCCCATGACCAGAACAGAAAGAACCCTGGTGCTGCCTGGCTCTGCCTAAAGCTCCAGATCCTGGGGGCCAGCTCTAGGCTAGGCCCCACTCACAGAAGACAGGCGATGTTCCCACCTCTCTTCCAGGGCTCAGAGCCCAGCCCACAGCAGTATTGAGGGGCTGGGTCCCAGTGCTGAGGATGAGACATCCTGGTCAGAGGCTCCCAGTCAGGAGGGATGACTCCATTTTCACGGTTGCATTCCAGATGGGGAAACGAGGGCTTGGTAGTGGGCTTGGAAGGAGCAGCCCAACCAGGTGCCTAGGAGTGAGGGTGGGACTGGAACTTGGCCGAGGACCCTGGCCTGCTGCAGACCCATTCCCCTTCCTCCCCAGGTGGGTTAGAAGTCAGTCTGCCCGGTACCACTCATGCTGGGCGTGTCAGGCGGCCAGGGATCTGTCCACGCAAGAGGATCTGGTCACACACCACATTCATGCCTTCAGGCTTCTCACCAAGCCCTCCACTCGCCTGGGGTCAGCCTCGCCGAAAAGATGCTGCAGAGACCTGGCCGAGGTCCTGTTAGGCAGTTGAGAGGGGCTCAGTCTTCACCCTGCTGGTGGGCAGCTCCCCCTGCACCCCCACCTGCCCACCGTGGGGTGTGGTGTGTCCAAGGCCACAGGAGGCTCTCACCCTGGAGGGGAGCTGTACTGCCATTTGGGGCTCACATGTATGGCCCCTGAGGAGTCTCCTGGGTGCCTGGTTTGTCCAATGTGCTCACCCGGTACTTCAGGTAGGAGAGGTATGTGTCCCAGCCCAGTGTCAGGCCATTGATGTAGGTGACTCGGAACTGGGGTGGCACAAAGAGGAAGTTCACCAGCTGTGCAGCAGGCCACACGCACCAATCAGCCTGTGGGGAGGGAAAGAGTGCAGTAAGGGCGGCGGCCAGGAAGCTGTGAGGGGTGGGGTGGGACAGAAGTAAGGGGAGGGAGAATGAATGGGGGTGGGGGCCTGGGATGACATGCCCACCTTGTAGAATTCCCAGAACTTGTCCTGCAGCTCCTGACAACTCTCTTCCAGGGACTGGCCCTCTAGGCTGCCAAGACCTGGCAAGAAAATGAGAGTGTCAGGCTGAGGAGTCCCACTGATGGAGCCAGTGGAGCAGGACCCCTCAGGGACAGACTGTTCCAGGCAGAGGGACCTAATGTTTAACAGCCTTGTAGTGGAAGGGCAGTACAGCAGGTGGCGGGTGTGGGGAAATAACACGATTGAGTGGGTCCCAGTGAGCGAGATCCAAAGGAAGATCCTAAGGAGATTCCTTAAGTGCATCCAAAGGAAGAAGACACCTTGATGCTGAAGCTGTTTTTTAAAGTCACGTTTTATTGTTATTCTGTATGGTTATCCCAATTTTTCCCCCTCTGTTTCCTCTGCTCATCCAACCCTGAAGCTATTTTATTACCTGTCTTTCAGCAAATGAGGAAGCTATGCCTAGAGGGTGGGGAACAGGTGAGGACTTTCTTCCCAGAGGCAAGGGCTGGGGTGACTGTGCCCCACTGAACCCCAGTCTCTGCTCCTCTTCTTTTGGCTGTCCTCTGCCTGCTGGCTCCTTCAAATCTCAGCTGAGTTCCTCTCCTTTGGCAACCCCTCCCAAACCCCACCCCAGGCAGCCCCATTAGATACTGTCCTCATCCCTCCTATACTTAGCACCATTGTTTGTGATTCTACCATTCACACCTGTCCCCACCAGGTCTGTCCTGTCACCACTGTGACCCAGTCTCCAGTCCAGGACCACCTGCACAGGAGGTGCATCAGAATGGGCCTCGGCATTCTTAATGCAAGGCTGGCTCTGCTCCTCCTGACCTATAAGGGTTTGCAAAGCTCAAGCTCAATGAGGCTCCTTACCCAAGAAGTACCAGACACCCAGCAGGGGAGAGGCCACCAGCTGGTCGATGAGGACCTTCCTGAGGACGTTTGGAAGCCCACGGAGGCCAGATGCAGGGAACAGGCGGTCCAGCCAGAGATACCAGTAGTGTAGGAAGGGGCCCATGCTACAGCCCACAGCAAACATGCTCACTGAGGACAATCCAAGAGTCAGGGTGGCCATATCAGTCCCTTAAAGTCCCCGGTCCACTCCCTCCCTGGGTAAACCACCCCCTAGGAGGGGATTCCACCATAGCCCCTATTTCCAGAGGAGGAAACCGAAACAGGGTAGGGAACTCTGGGGCCAGGGCACAATCCCAGGCTGTCGGGGTCCGGATGCCGCGCGCCCTTGATTACCCCAGGTCCAGCTTCCCAGGCTTAGTGCTGAAGTGTACGAGGGGTTAGGCGGAGACGAGACTCCAAAGGTGGAAACGGACAGAAATCCCAGTTATTGAAGGGGACGAAGACCCGGGGTGGGAGGGAGCGGAGAACCCAGGGTTGGAAGGGAGACACGGGTAGGGGCTGTCAGGTTATAGGATGCACGTAGAGATCTAGCAGGACTCAGGCCACGGATTAGGGGTTACGGCCCGCGGGTCTGGTCCCAAGGTTTCCAAATCTGAGGTCGGAGTCAAAGGTTCCCTGGGGTCAAGGGTAGGCAGCGCCGACCTCCTTACCTGAGCGCCTTGGGTCGAATTTCTGGCCGGGCCGGGCGCGGATCTCCCAGGACTGGCGTGCGCCGTCCCCAGCCGCCATGAGAACGCCGCAACCCAGCGTGTTGGTAAAGAGCAGCGCACGGCCTTGGAACATAGGCTGCCCCGCTGCCCATAGGCCGCGCAGCCAGCGCCAGCCACCTACTGCCATCGCGCGTGGGGACCCAGGAACTGGAGCGCCGGACCAACTGCTTGTGCCAACCAATCAAGCGTCCCGGCCGCGCCCGGGGCGCCCAAAAGCTGACCAAGCGCCGACAGCTCGGTTCTCCACTTTGCCCGCCCCGAGAGATATTAGCCAATAAAAGACTGGCATTCCATTCCTTAGCCAATCCATGAACGACGTCACGCATAGAGTATGGACCAATCAAAGTAAGCCTAGACCCCACCACGCGTGCCTATTGCTCCCTTGCGTTTCCTTGTCCCTTTCTGCACCAGCCTCTGGGTAGCAGTCACCTCCCTCTTATTTATTAGTTCAGTACCGCATTGGCCAATCTCAGACCACAGTTACGCCAGTCGTCCCGCCTCCCGCGTTAAAATGGCCAATCTTAGGCAGTTACCACAAGCTCAGGTCTAGTAGCCCTCCAGATGGATACCCAGATCCCCGCGGCATTCCTGAGCCATTCCTGAGCGGGAATTCAGACCTATGGCCGGGTCAGCTAGAGGGGTGGAGGTATTGTATAATCCCGCAAAGACTCAAGGTATTGGGGGCGAAGCCCAGTGGGTGTCAGGTCCAGAAATTGACTTTGGTCTTGACTTTAGCTGAGTATCTGACCTTAGATCCAGAATAATAAATAAAAGTGTTAGGCACTACTTGGAGCACAAAACGTGTATTAACTTATTTCATAGCAACCCTTCTGCTGCACAAATAATTAGATACCCATGTTATGTCCTTTGTTCCTGTAAGGGAAAATGTGAGTTTCAACGGAAACCTATGCATTATCCACAGGAATAGCGTGTCACAAATGCAAACTACAGCCTGAGGGCCAAACCCTGTCAGTACCTCTTTTGTGAGGCCCACGATCTAAGAATATTTCTTACACTTTTGCATTGTTCAGGAAAAATCAAAATATCCTGGGTAATGTGAAAATTATGTGAAATTCAAACATATGTGTCATTAACATACAGCTTTATTGGAACACAGGCATGCCCACTTGTTTCTGTGTTGTTTCCTCTCCGTACAAGTAGTTGCAACAAAGGGTATGGCCTGTAAAATCTAAACTACTTATTGGGTGGAAATTTACAAAAAGAAATTTGTGCTGTATTAATAGGACACTCTTCAGGATATTCCAATTCTGATTCTATGGGAACTTTTTATAAACTTGGTAGTTATACCTGATAACAGCAAAAAATAATTTTTGCCTATGGACATGCAAATGTATTCTGTCAGGTGGAGAGACAGTCTCCCCCAATTATTTTTGCCTTACTTTGCATGTTCATTTAAATATTCCTGATTTGTCTGCTCTTTGGATCTCCTTTAATATGGTGTTAACACCTGAACAGTTCTCATTAATAATGAGTTAATAATTTTTAACATATGCTCATTTTGACATCTGTATGAGAGTCATGATTTCACCTTTTTTTTTGAAAAATTACTTTCAGCACTTCCTATTGCTCTCAAGTATGTCAGCCTGGTATTCCAGACTTTAGATTTTACTGCATCTTAGTGGAAATCCTCCAACATAGTTTAAAAAAAAAAACTTTGTAAGCCCTGGCCGGTATAGCTCAGTGGATTGACCGCCAGCCTGAGAACCAGGGGGTTGCTGGTTCGGTTCTCAGTCAGCGCAGATGCCTAGGCTGTGGGCAACCTCCCCTGCACGAGTTCGCAAGAGGCAGTCACACATTGATGTTTCTCTCCCTCTCTTTCTCCCTTCCTTTCTCTAGAAATAAATACATAAAATCTTAAAAAAGAAAAAAATCAACACACTTTGGCAACAACCACATTCAAGAAAACAAGTTTCACTTTTGAATGCTGTGTTACAAAATCCTTATAGGAAAACTTGTTCATACCTGGTTCACAGTCTGCCTTATAGGGCGGTCCTGGCCCTCCGAGGTCCTTGTAACATTTCAGGGATATCAAGAGGCATAGATACGGCAGGTGAAACCCTGTAGAATTTCTCACCTTTAGTTAGCCAATGATAGAGGCTTTTCAAAGTCCAACCTGAGATTTTTTAGTGGAAACTTCCAGCAAAGCAAGCTGAATGCTTGCTGCACTTATGTAAATTAGCCAAGCAAATCTAATTAGACCTGCAAAGGAAGTTCTTTTTTTGAGATTCTTTTAAACAAAAGGGACAACACAAATCTTATTTGACCATAAAAAAACAAGAGAAGGAAATCCTGCTATTTGTGACAACATGGAGGAACCTGGAAGACATTATGCTGAGTGAAATAAATCAGACAGAGAAGGACAAGTATTGTATGATCTTACCTATTTGTGGAATCTAAAAAAGTAAAACTCATAGAAACAGGAAAATAGCAGTTGTCACAGGCGGGGGTGGTGGAAGAAATGAAGGGATGTTGTCACAGCATCTGGAAAGGTTTATTAAGCTCATTTCAACGTAGCACCATTTTTGGTGGGGCAAGATTCTTGATCTTGGGGCAAAATTTTGAGTTGGACTTCATGGGATGTGTAAGTTATCTAGATCGAGAGCCATAGCTGGTGAGTCAGGGATCAGAAAAATGGGGGCCAGTGGGAGCTCATTCTTCTTCCATCAGTTCCCTCCAAGGACCGAGGCAGTCCTCGGTCAGACGTCCAAGGCCATCACTTGAGGCAGACATCCCTGTGGGAGCTGGTCATGAGTGAGCAGGCATCCGGCTTCTTACCCTGGAGGAGGCAGTCATGAGTTGGGGGCCTGAAAGGAGACCTAGCCCCACTCGCTGAATCCCTCTGTTGCCTGTGTGACTTACCTGGTACAACTGGCACACAAGGGGTAGGAGCTGGCTCTTCTCACCCAAAGGTTTCTGCACAAAGCAAGACCGGAGGTTACCAGTGCCACCTGCCCTTACCAACCATGCCAAGCCCAGAAGGAGCTAAAAATGGCCCGGAGTCTGGCTGGCCCTGCCTCCTGCCTCCCAGAGTGAGCACATCCATTACCTTGGTCCCTGCCTGGGGGCTGATCAGAGGGCTACAAGCGTTTCTTACCCCATTAACGACGACCCAAGGCACATACTGGTGGGGCGGCTCCAGAGAATCTGTAAGTTGGGCGTTCACATGCAAGAGCTGTGTGCCCCGATCTCCCATTGCGCACTCCATGATGGTATCTGCGGACACATCTGGGGCATACACCTGTAGGCACTGAGGACAGAGGAGTGCCAGTGAGCCTCAGCTCTCCCCCTGTTATCTCCCCATTGGCCCCCAAATCAAGTTTCTGTTTCCTTAGTGGCAACAGGGGCCAGTGGGTCCACAGCAATGCAACAATGCTTGCAAACAGCAAATGCTTCATACATGCCTGAGTGGGGGCCCCCTACGCTCCTGAGTCCCTTATGACCAGACTGGCAGCCCTTGACCTCTACGTTTTCCTCAGAGCTTCCGTCTGTGCTATTCCCCCCACCAGGAACACTCATCCTCCAGCTTCCTCAGCCTCTCCTGAGGGTTCCCTCCTGCTCTATGCTCTGCCAGCCCCACTATGATTCTGCAGGGCTGGGGTGTCTTAAGGTGAGGCTTCCTGGGTAGCCTGAATGTTTGATGAATCAATAAATGATCAGGGCAGATGAGTCATTCCTTTGGGAGATCTTTTTCATAATCCTCCAGGGAGGTGGGCAGGCCTGTCCTGTCATCCCCATACCCCAGAGGACGGTCATCGTCTGTGTCCCCGCACATTCTTGTTCCTAGGAATCCAGCTCAGAGGCTCCCCCTAGAGAGAGCACTCTCTGATCTCCCCATGCCCCCAGAAGATCTTCCTTCCCTGGATCCAGAGATTGAGGCTTAGAGAGGGAACAGTATTTCCCTGTTAGTGGTTGGGACCAGGGCTTGAACTGGGGTCTGAGTGCAGGGAAGGCCATGGTCCCCCAACACAGGCCAAATAAGGGGTGTTACTCACTGGCTTTAGATTTTTCTCCATGTCATCCATAACCTCTAAGCAGACAATGGTTAGGAAGGCCACGTCGCTCTCCAGCTTGTCCAACAGGCAGGCCTGGGGTTGGGGAGTGGGCAGGCAAAGTCATCAGGGGGGCACAGAGCACCCCAAGGTCCCTCTGGTAATAATCATGGGAGTTCGATAATGAAGCAATGGATGGAGTTATGGTAAAATGGAGGCACACAGGCAGGGGAGGGAGCTGGTTCCAAGCCTCTCTGAGTCTAGATTTCAGCTTCGCTACCACCTGCAGCCTCCTGGGCCTCTGTGCCCCCCACAAGGACTGGGGGCGCTGCTCACCTCCACCTTGTTGAGCTTGCACTCCTCCTCCCCATGCTGGCACGTGAACTCCCACCTGCCACTGACATTCTGCTCCTGCAAGGCAGTGGGGTGAGTGCTGGTCGGCCAGCCAGGTGCCTCCTAACCCTGGTCACACGCCTCAGTTTCCCCAGCTCCCACGTACCCTGGCATTTCCATAGGGCACCAGTGTGACGTTGAGGATCTCCATAACCATCAGCCATGTCGGGAACAGCTCTCGGATCAGGAAGTACCGGCAGCCAGGGCACAGCGCCTCGTAGTAGAGGCTCACGTTGACAGGTGGTGAGTCGGACTTCCCAAGGGACACCTGTGGGCACAGGGCACCAGCCTGTGTGGGAGGAAGAGAAGGAAGCAGGTGTGGCCTTGCTTGGTTCTCTTGCAGAAAGGGAGCTGCAAACAGTAAGTGCTCCATCCTGAACGCACTCCTGACTCTAAGGCTTTACCGAATCCCTAAATCTGTTAGGCTTCAAAATGGACACAACAGACTTGCATATAGTAGACACTTGCATAGCTCTTACTTTCTTCCAAGTGAGGTGAAACCTCTGGCCCAGGGGAACCTGATGCAGTAAGGACTGGAGGCAAGCACACTTGGGATCCCTGACCTCAGTCCTACCTTCCTGGAGGTGCATACCACAGGAGACTAATGGATGATCATATGTTGCCACTTCATGCCCAGAGCCTTGGCCATACACCTGCTCTGACTCCTCTTCCTCCCAAGGGGCCCACATGAACCCCTCCCAAGTCCCCTGCGGAGGTGTCACCTAGTTAAGTACCGACTTCCGGCTCTAGCTAAAGAGCGGCAGGCGCCCAGATTTGTGAGCAAGTCGCTCAGCCTCCGGGGCATGTTTGCTGAGCACCAGAAGCACTGGAGCTCTTCCCTGGCCGAAGTGCGTCCGGTAGGCAGCACCTAGTGGGTGCGGGTGCCACAGGCAGGCTTCCCCTGGCTTCCAAGGGAAGACCCCGATTCCCATCTCAGATGTACTCAGCAGGTGCTCAAGCACCCTCGAGCGGGGCGGGCGGGGACGGGGTGGGGACAGCGGGGCGTCCTCAGCCTGAGATGGGAAAGTGAAAGGACTCCGAGAGTATGGCCACACTGCCTGGGATTACCGTAAATAGGAGGGTTTTCGCACTGACGGCGCGTGTTCCCTCCAGACCCCAGGCTGCCCCGGCCACGTCTGGGGATAGGAAACGAGCCGCCAGCCCGTCCCGGGCGCTGGTCTCCGCCCACCCACCCGCAGCGTCGCTGTTCCTACCTTGCAGGGGGCTGTCCCCGCGGGGAGTGTGCCCAGCGGGGACGCGTGCGCCGCCGCGGGGACTTGGAGCAGCAGCAGCAGGGCCGGCAGGAACGGCAGGAGTGGCAACCAGGCCATCACAGTGTGGGTACAGGCGCTGCGGCGGGAGAAATGCCCCGGGGAAGGGACGGCCTTTAACCGTTCGGTGGCCCTGCCCCTAAGCCGGGCCCGCCTCCCGGGGCCCACGCCTCCCGGGGCCGACCTGGAGTCGCTTGATGTCTGCACTTCTCTCTCCGGGTGTCCCTTTCCAACCCCGCCCCGGTCCCTACCCCTGCCAGGTGCTGGGCCAGCAATCCAGGTCACCTGGCCTCTCTGCCGTTTCCTCATCCCCACTCTGTCCCTGCAGTTCCCTGGAACAGACAGGTGAAGCTGGGGTCCGAGCTCCTGCAGAGGATGTGGGGTGGGGGCTTCAGGGACAGAGACACAGAGACACAGGAGATGAAAGGGTCTTCTCACGCCACAGACCCTTCTGGGGCAGCCAAGGTTGTGCAGCCCCTGCCCCTAGCAGGGGGACCCGGTGCACTAACTGAGCGGGGAAGGGTCTGGCCGTGCAGTCCTTTTCCCTAGCCCATCACTCCCAATCCACTGGCCCTGCCCGTCTCCCCACTTCCTGTTGGGCTCCCCAGCTAAGTCCCGTGGAGTTGACTCAGACTTGGCCACAGCTGGCCTAGAAAGCAGAAGCCAGAGCAGTAAGGATGCTCACTTTTCTTGGCCCCCACCCCTGGCTCATGGGGTAGGTAGAGGAAAGCTGGTGTTCCTTTTTCCCTCCGTCAGAAGGTAGGGGAGGGGTTGCACCCCAGCCCTCATTGAGCTCCCTGGGGAGAGATAAGCAGGGGATGGAGCAGTAATTATGGGAAACCTGGACTATGTCCACGGGGTGGGGGTGGGGGGTGTGGCGTGCAGGACCCAAAGCAGCAGAGTCAGCCAGACCCCATCAGCCCCAGGACTATACTGGGCCCCTCAAGTGATGAAGCCTCAGTTTTCCGATCTATAAAATGGAGAAGAGGGAGGTTTGGGGAATAAAGCTACCGTGGAGGGCTCAGAGGCAGAGGGAGAGTTAACCCAGATTGGGGGGGCAGGCCGCTGGGCTGTGACCCTGGCAGGGGCTGACAGAGGAAGGACAGCAGTGCAGGCAGGCAGACAGGACAGCCGGAGTGAAAGATTGGAGGCTGGGGGTACTGGGGGAAGGACCCAGAGTCACACTTTGCAGGGCCTCAGTGTCAGTCGTGACACAGGATGGGATCCTACAGGAGGAAACGCCAGACACTTGGCCTGGAATGCAGCCGCGTCTCTGCTTTCCCTGAAGCCCCCATGGCTGGATGACTGCCCCCCCTCCATACCATCCCTGTGGACCCTTAGCAAACCCACTTCCTTCCTGAAGCCTCTACAAATCAAAGCAACACAGCTTTGGGAGCTGGCTGGGTGCTCTCCCTGTGCTGGGCAGCATGGAAGCAGTCATGATAAATATTGCTGCAATTCTGGATGGACTCTCGCATATAAACCCACCCATTTTATCATGGGACTCTCATAGATATCCTGTTGGGGGCCAGGTAGGAATTAATAACCCCACTTGGTAAGAGGAAACAGGACCAGAGAGGGGAGGCAACTTTACCAAGGAAGTCCAGCTGGGGGTGGAGCACACACACTGGCCAGAGGACTCCTGCGCTGTTACCAGCCCCCACGCTCCACTCCAGGCTTACTCAACTGGCCAGTCAGTGGACTGAGAAGGTGACCTTTACCCTATGAGCACCCATGCAGTGGGTGAGGACCACAGGGCAGACAGTGTCTGGGCTGCAGTTATGCAGTGGGTGCCTCCTGACTGGGCACGGAGCAGGGGCAGTGCCTAGGAAGACTTGGGGGCTCTGAGGTCATGCACCTCCTGTCCCTTGGAAGCCCAGCGGGAAACGAGGTCTCTGTTGGTGCCCTGAGCTGACTCGGGTGTGTTGAGTGCTGTATGGGGAGCGGAGGGAAGGGCAGAAGGCTCCCAGACCTGGGGGTGGGGAGGACAAAGGGACAGGGACCTTACAGATGGGAGATGGTAAACAGGAGTCTAAGTGAAAGACGCTGAGGACTCAGCTCAGTATCCCCTGGGCCTCAATGTCAGTGGCAGGTGTGAAAGGCTATCAGCAGGGAGACTGGCCCTGAGGGCATCAAGAACATGGAGGACCCCTTTGGGTGGCACAGTAGGTGTTGTGACAACTGACCCCATCTGGCAACGAGGAAGGCGCGTGTCAGAGGGCACGGCTGGTGGCTGAGTGCTAGGACCCAAGCACAGGAGGTTAGTGAGGAGCTGGGCTGGGGGTCTGTGGTCCCCTGGGCAGGCCAAGGCATGAGCAGAGCTCAGGGTTTGAACCTCTCTGCTGTGTGATCTTGGTTAGGTCTCTCAACTTCTCTGTACATAAGAGGCTAAACTGGGGTCAGAGGTGGTCAGTCCTCACTGGCAGCCTGAATTAAACTCTAGCTCATCTCTGTGACCCCGTGAATCTCAGGGCCCCAGCACACAATGGCTGTGGAGAAGCCGCACTGACAAGAGGCATTCACCGAGTTCACTGTTTTATATCCACATCAGTATCAACGTACCATACAAAACCTGCCTGCCAGCCTAGCTGGGCGGGCAGGAGGGGGTCCACGGCAGCATAGAAAACCGGGGCTCTCGTCCAAAATAGGAGAGAAAACGGGCTTTACAGTCAAGGAAACATAAAATCAGAACCCAACGTGATCCAGGAGAAGTCTGGAGATGGCACTGAGTCGGGGTGCTGGGGCAGCACTGGGTCTCTGCCCCCACCCCCACCCCCTGCAGTACCTCCAGCGGCCTCAGTTCCCGTGAGGCCTGGGGTCGGGGAGGGCCAGCTCACGAGGTTATTTTTAATAATTTTGCTTTGTGGGGATAACCGGTGGCAGGTTTCACTTCAGGGTTTGGAGGGGAAGTTGGGTCTGTGGGGCGGGACCTGCCCGGCCCCAAATGTCACAGCCGAGGTTCTTGGAAGTGACCCAGCGAAGTTCCTTCCTCCCCTGACCCCAGATCTATGGCTTAAAAGTCAGGGAACCCAGGCTGGGGCTGAGCACCCCAGGGGCCTTTGTAAACATGGCAGGTACAGGTAGGTGGGGCTTGGGGAACCCCAGGAACCTGTGGGGGCAGCCAGAGCCATAGGGAGGGCTGTGCCCATGGGGACAGGGGGTATGGGGTGGAGGAGGTGAATTCCCTTAACACAGAGACTTAGAGGTACCGAAACTAAGAGAGACGGAGAGACAGAGAAATGGGGACAGAAAGAGACAAAGTGACAGGGAGACAGGGAGAGAAAGAGAGAGAGAGAGAGAGAGAACAAGGGACAGAGACAGGCAAACAGAGGAGAGATGACAGAGAGACAGAGCTGTAAGGAGATAGAGAGGAAGAGACTGAGACAGGGAAAGACTTGCAAAGAAGAGAGACAGACAGAACTTGAAACAGAGACAGACAGAAAGACGGAGCCAGGGCCACAGCTGCCTGGGCCTGGGCAGCTCAGCTCTGCTCCGGGTCAGCGGGCTGTGGGCGGGGGCCCAGGGCCAGGTGCGCGCACAGGGTGGGCCAGTGTGACGGTGAGCGCGTCATTGTGCTGCACTAGGGAGGTGTGCTGGTAATGCAGCACCAGCTCCTTCAGCGATCCATACAGGTTGTAGGGCTCGGCAAAGCCCAAGCCAGTGGCCGTGCGGTAGATGACACAGTGCTTGGTGTCGCCGTCCACCCTGTGGTGTGGGCAAATGGGTGGTCAAACGGGTGGCACTCTACGGGCCCACCCAGCCACTTCCCCAATATCAGACCCTGACCTGGTCCAGACCCTACTACCTCTGGCCTGGATGCTGTCCCAGCTTCCTGCCCTATCCCCAATCACCCCTTGTTCTTGTGGCAGCCATGGGGGTCTTCTTCCCAAGGCCTGGCACACAGCAGATGCTCAATAAGAGCTCTTGAAAGGAACATGAGGCTCCTCTACCCCCACAGGCACTCACACCACAGAGCACGCGTAGCAGCCCCGCTGGCTGCTCTCGCGGATGAGGAAGGTTCCATCCCTCTTGCCGCTCAGCATTTCCTCAGCCTGTGTGCGGTTGATCTTGCCCACATACCACGTGCGTTCCTCATGGTGGGGGAGGTCATCCTCATCCTCCATCAGGGAATACTGGCTGTGGAGGAGGCAGGGAGGGACCCTGGTCACTTACCCACCAGCCTCTGAGGCACCCCTGCTGCCTGGACAATGCTCCTTTCCTGGTGAATTCCTACTCATTCTGCAAAACCCACCCAAAATAGCCCACCTTCTGGGAAGTCCTCCCTCCCCCTTTCACGTGGTCACTCACTCCTCAGTCTCGTTTTTGATTCCCAACCACTCATTGATTTTCTTCTGTCGGGCGCCTTTCTGGGTGAGCCACCTGGGAGGAAGAGAAAAGGTGGTTCACGCAGCAGAGGCAGGGCAAGCCTACAGGGGCGCAGTCCAGCCAGGCTAGAGGTGAGGGTTGTCCAGCAAGGGTGGGTTTGGGTGTGATAGCGCCAGTTGCCACACAGGGCCAGCCTCGGCTTGGCCAAGGGCAGCTTGAAGGTGGCAGAGACTGGCTGGCTCTGCCAGGAAACCCCCTGTTTATTGTTTCTGTTAACACTTATGGAGCCTCCAGAATGCACCATCCCACAGGGTCTTATCACCGCCAGAGGCTTAGCCTTAGGGGCTGCACACAGTGCTGCAGGCCTTTGCATGGGGCAGCTATCTGTGTATTTTACCTTCCCTAGCTGGAAAAGGGGAATTTTTTTAAACATTTATTGATTTTAGAGAGGAAGGGGGAGAGAGGGAGGGAGAGAGGGGAGTAGTGAGAGACAGAGAAACAGAGAGAGAGACATCGATTTGTGGTCCCACTTATTTATGCATTCATTGGTTGATTCTTGTATGTGCCCTGACTGGGGATTGAACATGCAACCATGGCATACTGGGATGATACTCTAACCAGCTGAGCTACCCAGCCAGGGCTAGAAAGGGAAAACTTTATGAAGGACTTGGAGAGGACAAAGTATGTGCACGGTTGCTCAGCACAGTACCCGGCATACAGCAGGTGCACATAAGCATCTAAAGCCCAAGTGGGAAAAGAGCCGTTGCCAAGATCCCCACAATGG